CTATACTAACCAATTATTCTTAAATTCATCAATAATTGCTTTGTTTTCATTAATTATTATTCCATTGTTCGTCTCATTCTTTGTTCTTTGCTAACCTTGAATAATTGGAGGATGTGATGGGTGGTTTGGATAATTGTGGCGAAGGAATTTCTTGTGGTTCTTCAATTTAAAATTCTTTGTTATTATTAATAGGTATTCATCACCATCATTTGAACAACTGTTCATTGATTTATCATATTTCAATAAATCTTTGTCCCACAGTCTATATAATGGTGTCTGATGATGATTTAGAATTAATTATATCATACAAAACAATAAATATATATTTACCAAAGACAACAAATTTTAAAGAATGAATAATTTGATTGCACCCTGTATTATATTACCAGAGATATCAAAATCTTTTAACTGCTACCAGACAAATTAATATTCTTGAGCCAAAAAATCAACGTGTGAAAATTTCAGGATGAGATTGGCTAAAAAAAACTTGATATTTGACAGATGATAATAAAATAAGGATATTTATTTATTAGACTTGGCTTATTTTAACCCTATGTCAACATAATGACATCAAGTTTTTTTATTTAGGTAACCATGTTCACCTCTATTATATTAATAATAATAATAATTATATATTAATTTAAGAAATGTCAAAGGTAAAGTAACATAACTATTGAATATGAGAAAATTGCCCATAAAAAATTCAAAAAAAAACAAATGTTAACATTTGAGTATTGGAAATTTATTGTGGATGTTGAAAATTACTTCAGAGTTTACATATTTAAAAACATCACAGTTATTCTAGCTAATCTCTACGAAGATATGATGATGTAATTTAATTTCAGAGAGTGTGACTGAAGTTTATTAAAATCGCACCATTCTCAAAAAGACTTTTTGAAACTCCTCACTTGTCTGAAACTTCTTACATGTATGAAGTTTTTCCTCTTGTGGAAAAAATTCTATAGCAATGAATAATGTGCTTGCATGTTTGTAAGAAAATCTTGGTGAATTTGGCACCTAAGTCAATTTATTTTTTTGGAAATTGTTTAAAGCATGATGGGCCAATTATTGTATTGGGCAGAATAATTTTAAATGGAAAAATCAAGGTGATTAATTATATTTTTCCCATGG